AACCTCCGCCTCCTGGGTTCAAGCGATTCTCCTGCCTTAGCCTCCCAAGTAGCTGGGATTATAGGTGCATGCCACTACACCCAGCTAATTTTTGTATTTTTAGTAGAGATGGGGTTTCACCATGTTGGCCAGGATGGTCTTGAACTCCTGACCTCAAGTGATCTGCTCACCTCAGCCTCCCAAAGGGCTGGGATTACAGGTGTGAGCCACTGTGCCTGGCCTCAGTCCATTTTTAAACTGGGCTATTTGTCTTTTATTATTGAGTTGTAAGGGTTCTTTATCTATGCCAGTTAGAATTCGTTATCAGACATATGATTGTCAGCTGTTTTCTCCCATTCCATGCTCTGGGTTGTCTTTTCACTTTTTTGATAGTGTTCTTTGAAACGACTTTTTTTTTTTTTTTGAGACAGAGTCTTGCTCTGTTGCCCAGGCTGGTGTGCCATGATGCCATCTTGGCTCATTGTCACCTTGCCCTCCTAGACTCAAGCGATCCTCCTGCCTCAGCCTCCCAAAGTGCTGGGATTTCAGGTGTGAGCCACCATGCCTGACCCAAAATTTTAAATTCTGATGAAGCCCAGTCTATTGTTTCTTTTGTTGCTTGTGCTTTTGGTATCATATTTATGAAACTATTGCCTAATCCAAGGTCATGAAGATTTATGTCTATGTTCTTAAGAGTTTTATAGTTTTAGCTCCAGCATTTAGATTTTTCATCCATTTTGAGTTAATTTTTGTGTATGGTGTGAGGCAGGGGTCTGACCTCTTTCTTTTGCATGACTGTTTTCCCCATTCAACTCCACTATTAAATATGTTCAGATCTTGCAGGTGAACACAAATGTGAGGGTTTATTTCTGGACTCTCAGGACTCTTACTTATATTTCATTGATCTCTATGTCCTTATGCCAGTGCCACACTGTCCTGATTACTGTAGCTTTGTAGTAGTTTTTGAAATTGGAAGTGTCATTCCAACATTGCTCTTTTTTTTTTCTTTTTGAGGAAGGGTCTTGCTGTGTCGCCCAGGCTGGAGTGAAATGGCATGTTCTTGTTCACTGTAATCTCTACCTCCCAGGTTCAAGTGATCCTCCCACCTCAGCTTCGTGAGTAGCTGGGACTACAGGTGCATGCCATCATGCCTGGCTAATTTTTTGTAATTTTGTAAAGATGAAGTTTCACCATATCGCCCAGGCTGGTCTCAAACTCCTGGAGGAGTAATCTTCCCACATCAGCCTCCCAAAGTGCTAGGATTACAGGCATGAGCTACCACATACCTGGCCTACCACATGCCTGGCCCATTGTTATTATTTTTCAAGACTGTTTTGGCTTTTCTGAGTTCCTTAAATTTCTATATGAATTTTAGGATCAGCTTGTCGATTTCTGTAAAGAACCAAGTTGGAATTTTGATGGAGGTTGTGTTGAATTTGAAGATGAGTTTGGGGAGTCTTGCCATCTTAACAGTATTAGATCTTTAGATCCATGAACATTAGTATTTTTCCATTTATTTATGTTATCTTTAATTTCTTTCAACAATTTTTGGTAATTTTCAGAGTATAAGTTTTGTACTTCTTTTGTTCCTAAGCCTTTTATTCTCTTTGATGCTAGTATACATTATTTTCATCATTACATTTTTTTTTATTCTTGGCAACTTTCATTTAACATAATTACATTTTTGAAGTGTTCATTGCAAATGTGTAGAAATGCAATTGATTTTTGTACATTGATCTTGTATCCTGCAACTTTGCCAAACCCATTTATTAGTTATAACATTTTTTTTAGTTGATTCTTTAGGACTTATTTATTTATTTACTCTTTGAGACAGAGTCTCACTCCATCACCCAGGCTGGAGTGCAGTGACGCAATCTTGGCTCACTGCAACTTCTGCCCCCTGGGTTCAAGCTATTCTCGTGCCTCAGCCTCCCAAGTAGCTGGGGTTACAGGCACATGCCATCACACCTGGATAATTTTTGTATTTTTAGTAGAGAAAAGTTTTTGCCATGTTGGCCAGGCTGGTCTTGAACTCCTGACCTTAAGTGATTCACCTGCCTTTGCCTCCCAAAGTGCTGAGATTATAGGCGTGAGCCACTGTGCCCAACCAGGATTTTCTACATGTAAGATGATGTCATCTGCAAATAGGGATAGTTTTACTTCTTCCTTTGCAACCTGGATGATTTTATTTTCTTGCCATTGTATCCAGTACAGTGTTGAATATAAGTCGTGAGATTGGACATCCTTGTCTGGTTGCTGGTCTTGGGGAAAGCACCCAGTCTCTCACCATGAAGTATGGTACCAGCTATAGGAACGCTCTTCTTAGAACCTCCTGAAAGATTGGCTGGTTTACATCCTCAGTTCCAGCAGTGTACAAGCAAGAGGCCTAGTCCCCCGTCCCTTGCCAACACAGTGACCCCAGGCTTTAGAGGCGAAGAACTCAAGCCTGGGAGGGAAGTGCTGTGTGCCATGTCACACAGACAGCGACCTACAGCCCAGCCGTCCACGTGCACTGGGAGTGAGCCCTGGACATTCAGCCTTCTCTTCCCTGGGGTGGGATGACTTGAGACCCCCGAAAAAAAGCATTGGTACAGAGGAACTTCTGGGTTCTATTCTTGTCTCAATCACTGACTGGCTGTGGGGCTGTAGGCAAGTCACTTCCCCCTGGGCCTTGGTTTTCCCATCTGTGTAGTGGAAAGAGTGGTCCATCTTGAAATCTTCCAACTCTGACGATCTCTCTGCCCCACCCACCCTTAAATTCACAGTGGCTTCAGCATCCACCACTGCCCAGAGCAGCCACCAGAGGGCGTTCCAGACCAGCATTTGGCCCAGCTTGGGTGCAGGGTGCCCTGGGGAGGCTGAGAACAGGGCCTATTTTCCAGGAGCTGCTAGCTGTACTTGCATAGACTTCCTGTGGTCAGAGCTGCCCGCTCCTCTGGCTGAGCTCTGATCTCCAGGAAGGGAGTGATGGAGGCACCATCCCCAAGACCAGTGACCTAGCACTCACCCTGCCCGCTTTGGGTTGCCGCCTGAGTCTCAGGGTTCATAGCATTAGGGCTGGCAGCCTTGTGTCTCTCAGCCTTGGGAGGCTTCCATTACCTCTGAGCGGGCCTCTCACTGGTGCTGCCTCCTTTCTCCACCAAATTGCCCAGCAGCAGGAAGCCCCCAAACTGGTGGGTGCCTGGCCACCTGGAAGGGGGACCTCACTACCCTTTGTGGACGTGAATGCATTCATGCTGGGGGCCTGGACAGTGTAGTCTCAAAAACCACAGCATCTGGGACTCCTAGATACCTCCTGGATAGATCCCAGAACCATAGAAGCAGGCATCACAGACGTCAGGGACCACCCAGAACTTCCCGAAACACCAGAGGAGGCTCCATCAGCACCCCCATGACCCCCCACCCCCACCCGTGCTGATTTTACCCTTCAAATAAAATCAAAACCTTTGCTTTGAAAATTGAGCTCCAAGACACAGCAGCGTCTCCCTACCATCCCAAGAGCCTCACCCCAGCCCCTTGCATGGAGGGCTGCTGGGCCCCCCCCAATGCCAGGCATATTTGCTTTTTTGCTTTTTTTTTTTTTTTTTTTAGAGATGGAGTCTCACTCCTGCCAGGCTGGAGTGCAGTGGCTTGATCTCGGCTCACTGCAACCGCCACCTCCCAGGTTCAAGCAACTCTCCTGCCTCAGCCTCCCAAGTGGCTGGGATTACAGGCATGTGCCACCATGCCCAGCTAATTTTTGTATTTTTATTAGAGATGGGGTTTTACCATGTTGACCAGTATGGTCTCAATCTCTTGACCTCGTGATCTGCCCGCCTTGGCCTCCCAAAGTGCTGGGATTACAGGTGTGAGCCACCGCGCCCGGCCACATTTGCTCTCTCCCCTTCCAGACTGGGGTCCCCTTGAAGGCAAAGTGAGTCTCAGATTCATCGTAGTCCCTTCCAGGGGTCTCGTTCATGACCCTGAATCCAGTAGGTGCCCAATAAATGTCAACATAGGAATCCAGATCCCATCTTCTCCTCACTCAAGGGATCCAGGGCTGCCTCTTTTCTTCCCCAGCGATGTGGCTTTGGGGAAGTCACTTAAGCTCTCTAATCCTCCTCCTCGGAGTGCCAGACTGCAGCTGCCACATGCAGAGGTAAGACTCAGACAGGCTGGGTGCCAGGCCACTCCCTAGTTCCCCAGACCTTTCAAATGGCAGTGGCTGGCTACTCAGGTTAGACCAGATGCTGTGCTGGACAGTTCAGCTTTGTTATCTCTCCTAGTCTTCTCAGGGACACTTTGAGGTGGGTGGCATTGCCATCTCCGGCCTTGCCAGGGGGGACACCCAGGCATGTGACAATGAACTCCCTTGCCTGAGGTCACGCTGGTTGGCAAAGGTGTTTGAGCCTACAGCCCTGCTTTGAACCGACTCGGGGCAGGGATGAGCAGCTTCTGGAGTTTTCCTGTCCACCCTATAAGAATCTCCAAAGCTCAGAGATCATTTGCTCCAATTTTCTCTTTTCTTTTCTCGAGATTGAGTTTTGGTCTTGTTGCCCAGGCTGGAGTGCAATGGCATGATCTCGGCTCACCGCAGCCTCTGCCTCCTGGTTTCAAGTGATTCTCCTGCCTCAGCCTCCCGAGTAGCTGGGATTACAGGCGCCCGCCATCATGCCTGGCTAATTTCGTATTTTTAGTAGAGATGGGGTTTCTCCATGTTGGTCAGGCTGGTCTTAAACTCCCAACCTCAGGTGATCTGCCCACCTCGGCCTCCCAAAATACTGGGATTACAGGCGAGAGCCACCAAGCCCGGTATCTTTTTTTTTTTTTTTTTTTAACGGGGTTTCACTCTGTTGCTCACTTGGGAGTGTAGTGGGGCAATCATGGCTCACTGCAGCCTCAACCTTCTGGACTGAAGTGATCATCCCACCTCAACCCCTTGACTAGCTGGGACCACAGGCACAAGCCAGAACACCCGGCTAAGTTTATCTGTTTTTTGTTTGTTTGTTTGTTTGTTTGTTTTGGTAGAAATAGGGTCTTCTATGTTTCCTAGGCTTGTCTTGAACTCCCAGGCTCAAGTGATTCTCCTGCCTCAGCCTCCGAAGGTGCTGGATTACAGGCATGAGCTACCTCACCTGGCCAGTTTTCCCTTAACAAAGACTGGAATGCTGAGCTGGGAAAAAAGCGCTGTTCCTGTTCTGTCTCTTCTGTCACACCGGGGATGACACTGGGGACTGTTGAGAAATTAGGGAAGATCTAAAGCCCCTTGTGAGTCTCAGGTATTAAGATTCTATGATTCTTGGGGGCCGTGTTCCCAACAGGCCATGCCAGTCTTGGCTGGACTCACTGCCCACCTCTGGGACCTTGGCGGGGGGGGGGGGGGGGGGGGGGAGGACCTCAAAGGCTCAGTGAGCGAGTCCACCCCCAGCCCAGCCGCCAGTGCCAGCCTCCTCCTCCGCAGCACCCTGGCCCTTATCAGGAAAGGATTTGGGTTGGTGGGGAGGGGTGGGGGGAAGTCGGAGGCCCCAGGCTCCTCAAGGTGGGCCAGAGAGATAGGGAAGTGGGGAGGGGGCTGGGGTGCGGCTCTGCCGGGCGGGGGAGGGCAATGGGAGGGATGCCTAGAATGGGCACAGTGGGGGGCTTTGGCCAAGCTCTGTCCTTGCCGGCCTGGCCCTCGACATGGTTCCAGGACTTCTGCCTCCCATCCTTGCCAGGCAAGTTGCCTGCACCTTTAATTAGCGAGCAGCAGCCTCTCCCGATTCATCACCACGGTCGCTGTTTAATTAGCCGAGCCCAGGGCGGCCCCCACCCCCAGCTCTGCCTGCCTGTCTCACCAAGGCCGCCACCACCTCATGGTGTCCCCTGTCACCACCCCCCATACTTACTCTGCTCCCCAGAATGGGGGATGGGCCCGGCACGCCCGGCTGAAACCTCAAGGAGATTCTGGGCACTGGTGCTTGTATGCAAGGCATCCAGCAAACATAATTAGGGACCGAGGCTGCGCCAGGCTGTCTCTGGGTAGGGCCCCGGCCGGACATGCAGGGCAGGCTCTGGTCCTGTCCAGCTGCTGGAGAATGGCTTTTCCCTTGGGAGGCACTGAGACATCTCTCTGGCCTGGTCCCTGGGTGCTGGGAAAAGGCTGCCGTACTCCTTTGTGTCACTCCTCCACAGCTGGAAAAGGACACCATAGCTTCCTCTTCCTCCCTGTTCCAGAGCCCAGAAAGCTCCTCTGAGAACGCTGGACCTCAGGAGAGGGGCCATCCTCTGCACCTGGCCCCCAGCAGCCAGATCCTAGAGGCTCAGCCTAAGCTGTGGGCCAAGGGGGTTTGGGGGGAGGTCTCAGGCCTGCTTTGTGCCTGCAGGGTCTGGGGAATCAGGAGCACAGGCGGGAACCTGTGGTCTGGGGCCGAACCAGCCCCCTTCTGTTTCCCTGAAGAAGGGTGAGGCTGAGGGCCCTCGGAACAGAACCCCTGTGTCCTTCTGGGTAGGGCCAGGATGGCCACTAGTCACTGTGGGCGGAAGCCAGAATCAGGCTCCGTCCCAAGCCTGTGCTCCTGCTGGGCTGTAGGAGGTGTGGCCCTTCCACTGTGCCGTGGACTGAGAACGTGGAGGGACTGGCATTTGCTGTGTTACCGTGTGGGGCCGTCAGTGTGTTGTCCTGGGCAGGAGTGGTTGCTGGAGCCCACCCACTCTGGTACTGCCATCCCTGTGGCCTTGGGATGGCATCAAACCATACCATGCCTGAGTTTCCCCATGATTCGTAGCTGCTTCATGGGCTGTTGTGAGGATTAAAAAGCTTACAGTGTGATTGGATTTCGTTTGTTTTTGTTTTTGTTTTTTTTTGAGATGAGTTCTCTGTTGCTCAGGCTGGAGTGCAGTGGTGTGATCACAGCTCACAGCAGCCTTGACCTCCCAGGCTCACGCAGTCCTTCCATCTCAGCCTCCCTGGTAGCTGGGACTATAGGAATGTGCCCCCATGCCTGGCTTATTTTAAATTTTTTGTGGACATGGGGTCTTACTATGTTGCCCAGGCTGGGACTTGACAATGTTTAAAGCACTTAGGAGCAGTGTCTGGCAGGAGCCCTTGATAGTCATTGGCTGTTTTTGCCGTTCTTTTCCCTCCTTTATCCAATCAGCACTCCTTGCCAGGTGTGAGGAAATTGATGTCAGTGGGAGAGGCAACCTCCCTGCCTTTCAGTTTGCCGCCTCGTGGGGGAGGCAGCTGAGAACAATTGAGGAAGGACGAACACTGTTTCATCGGAGGAAAGCCTGCAGCTCATCACGGTAATGCACCAACGTCACTTTCTTGGTTTCGACCACTTACCATGGTTAGGTAATAGGCTGACATAAGAAAAAACTGGTTGAAGGGCCGACAGGAACTCCCTGTGTGATCTTTGTAATTTTTCTGTTGCAAAATAATTTCTAAAATTATTCCCTAAAGAAAGTTTATTGTAAAAAAAAAAAAAAAAAAAAAAAAAAACCCCAACAATTTCAGGCAATGGTTAATGCCATGAAGCAAATAATCAGGGGCAAGAGACAGAATAGGGAGCAGGGGCATTTCAGGAGGGGTAGCTGGGGAGAGCCTCTGAGGAGGCAAAGCTGAGCAGAGCCCGAGTGATGGGAAGGGCGGGGCAGGGCAGGAGGAGGGAATGGCGAGTGCAAAAGCCTGGAGGCAGGATGGGCTTGGGCTGTGGGGGAAGCTGGGGAGCTCAGGCTCCAGATCCCACACCCCTGGCCACTGCACTGGACTGGGAGAAGGAACCCCAACTCCAGAGCCAGCCAGACCCAGGTGTGATGCCCACTGCTGCCTCGCTGTGTGGCCTTGTGCAAGTAGCTGCCCCTCTCTAACCTGCATCTGCTGCCAGGGTTGGAGGAAGAAATCCTGCTCCTCAGAGGGCAAAGAGGGGGGAGAAGTGGGCAGGGGTTAGCTTGCCTAGGGTGCTGTAGGTGCCATCAAGGGATTGGGGATATACCACGAGAGGCCTGGTGCCTGTGAACCTGCAAGGGTGGGGAAGGCGATGCCCCCTGCTGTGTGTGGTGGGGCGGGGGAGGAGCTGGAACCAACTTTCCTGCACCCCAGGCTCTGTGCCTGAACCTGAGCACTCCGTCATCCTAAGCAATGCCCACCACTGTCTCTCTGTGTGGCCTTGGGCAAGTAGCTGCCCCTCTCTGTGACCTGGATCCGCTGCCAGGGATGGAGGAAAGAAAGCCTGCCTCTCAGATGGCTTGAAGATGGGTGGTGTGGCGGGAAAGCTTGGAGGGCTTGGTGCTGGCACGTGGCTCTCTTTCCTCTCCAGCGTCTGCTTCTGAGGCTGGGCAGGAGGACGTGCAGCAGCACAGGGGAGGGGCCTCCCAGGAGAGGAGTTGGGGGCTGGGCCCCTGCCCTCAGCCACTCAGCCACTCTGTTTGCTGACCCAGAAATTCTGGGAAGTCTCAGCTTGGGAGAACATCCCCAGGGGCAGATCATCAAGGAGAGGAATGTGGGTTTTGCAGAGGTGTGTATGGTGGGTCCCCATCCCCTCCACGTGCCCCCAGCCTGAGTGCTAGGATCCTGGAAGGTCAGTGAGCTGGGCAGGATGCTGGGCAGGAGGTTGTACCTGAGGGCAGCCGCAAATGACCACAGCCTTCGGACAAAGACTTAGGCATGGCCTGTGGCTTAGCATACCCAGAAAACGGATTTCTCTACCCGCCTCCCCTGAACAGACGATCAGAATACTAGTGGCTGAAACAGCTGGATTCTCCAGGACATTGAGTGACAAGACCACATTAGTCCCCCCATCCAATTCCCCTCATATTTGAGGCCCTGAGAACCTGGCTTAGGAATGGGAAGGGGCCTGGACTGGGGTGAGGTATGGCATGGGCCTTGGGGTGTGTGGTGGAGATCTCAGCCAGTGGAACCGGGAGCATTGAGGTTGGGGAGCTAAACCCAGTCTTGGAGCTTGAATTCCAGCCCTGATGCCTCCCTGGACATGTTAATCTACCACCAAGAACCTCAGTTTCTCCCATCTGTGAAGTGGGATTATTATCAGAATTAATTGAGATCTCACCGTACAGATGGAGCTTCTTACACAGTGCATGACATAGCATTGGTGCTCAATAAATGTCACTCTCCTCCACCGACTAGCTGATCCAGCTCATTTTCCAAACCTCACAGGGCCTAAGGAAGAATTCTGGCCCTTGTCCTGTGTTCAAGAGGCCACTGTCTGGGAGATGTCATCTGGTTGCTGGATGTTAGATTTGCTGAGATGTTTACAGGGAGATGTGAGGGGCTACTTGAATGGGGAACTTTCCCAATTAATTAGGCTCAGGGTCACAGGGCCTACTCAGCAGTTGCCCCCAGGGGACTCCTGATCCTCTGACATTTCCCTTGCCTGAGGTGGGGCTGGCATTCTTCTTTTTGGCAACTCCTTTTTCTAGAAGGCTCCTCGAAGATACCACCTTCTGTCCCAACAACCTTCTGGGTGTTCTTTCTGGTCTGGGCGAGCCAGAGGCAGCTGCACAGGGCAGAAAGAGACCTGGGCCAGTCCTGGCGGGGCAGCCGTGGACGTGAAGTGTCCTTGGGGTGGCCTTCCCACTCTGACCCTCTCTGATCCCTGCGCAGGGCTGACAGCACCCGCCAGGGCCATGAAGCCTTCATGGTGGTGAGTGTGAGAGGGTTTTAAAAACAGAAAGATGCTTCTCCTAGGCGATGAAGACGATTTTTAGCAAATTTTCCCATCTTTTCTGTGATTCACGGAAGCTGCAAGTTAGAAATGACCTTGACCATCAGTGTTTTCCAGGAGGATGTTAAACTGACCTTGGACAGAAAAGAGTGTTTGTCGTCAAATGAATTTGAGAAATAACAACGCAAACATCCACAGGGTCTTCTCTGCAGGGTTTTGAGAACCTTTCATGTGTATGTGCACGCAGGGGGTGTGTGTGTGTGTGTGTGTGTGTGCACGTGTGCACGCGCGCGCACGCACATGCATTTCCAGGAAGTGGCTGGGTCTACATCAGCACCCAGGCCTATGTGACAGTGGTGCCCTTTTTTATTTTCCTAGAGCATCCCGCGAGTTAGAAGTCTGTGGAATCCACTGTGGAAAATGCCAGGATAGTCGAACACCTCCCCGTCCTCCATATAGTCCAGCTGGAAGAATCTGGGGGACCATGGGAAAATCTGGGGTCCAAAGAAGTTAATCAGGTTCAGAAGGTGCTCTGGGCTCTATTTTAGGGCTGGGATTTTAACTGACATTTTACCTCTATTAACCCCTTTAATCTTCACAGCCACCCCATGAAGTAATCACGACTGTCATCTCCATCTTCCAAAGGGCAACTGAGGCACAGAGAGGCCAAGTGCTTGCCCAAGGTTCACAGCTAGTAAAGGATAGCGTGGGACACTAATCCCAGGCTGCCTGAGTCAGAGGCTGCCCTGGCACTCCCTGCCACCCCCTAGCCTGTCTTTACCACGCAGGCTCTTGGAGCTGCCTCCACCGGCAGCCACACTCTCACAGCGCCGGGCTGAGGTGCTCCTTCCTGCAGTGGCTGGTCTCAGGCATTCTCGGGAGAGTGACAGGGGATGGGGCCTGGGGATGCCCTGTGGGTGAGCCCGCCTGTCTGTAGCTTCCTACCGGCAACCTGGCCTCACCAAGACACAGGCTTAGGGTCTCATTTCATCCTCACTCTGGTTGTCTCCATTCTACAGGTGAGGCTGTGAGTGAACCGAGGCTCAGAGATGGGGAGTAACTTATCCATGGTCACACAGTAAGGAGATGATAGGACTGCGATCGAACCCAGGTAGTCAGAGCTGGGTGTTCAAGAGGCAGGTGCCCTTGGTGATGAAGCAGTGAGTTTCTGGGGCCAGAGGTGGGCAGGGACATACCCCACCGGGTCCCTGCCCACCTCTGACCAGATGCCTTCCTTACAGCCCCTTAGATAGGCTCACGGGTTCCCCGCTAATCTCCCTGGCCTCTCCTTCCCAGCCTCAGACAGGCCAATAGTCAGTCACGTAAAAACAGGCCAGATAGATTGCTGCCACCAAGGACGCGAGAGGCAGTTGCCTGGTGGCCTCTCGCCGAGCCGAGAGCTTATCTCTACCTCCTGGAGCCGGGCCTCAGCAGTTTCCTCCTCCTGGGGCACGGGCTTCTTGGTCTGTGTGTTTTTTCTTCCCCTTTGGCTTACCCGTTCCTGGAGACACAGTTGTCTGCTGTCCATCTGTAGACATTCACTGGGCGCTTTTTGTCAGCCAGGCCCCAGCAGGACTTGCTCTTCCACCTGCCCAGAGCGGGGCCAAGTCTGCAGGGGCTTCAAGATGTCGCTGGAGGCGGGGCGCATGCCATGGGGGTGTGTGCAGGGTCCACTGTCTGACAGTAAAGCAGGGGCCGGACCTGGCTCCAAATCCTACTTCCAACGACTTAAAAATAAAGACACAATCGAGGTTTGGTTGGGCACGGTGGCTCACACCTGTAATCCCAGCACTTTGGGAGGCTGAGGCAGGAGGATTGCTTGAGTCCAGAAGTTTGAGACCAGTCTGGGCAACATGGAGAGACCCTGTCTCTACAAAAAATACAAAAACTAGAGGAGGCTGAGGCAGGAGAATTGCCTGAACCCAGGAGGCGGAGGTTGCGGTGAGCCGAGATCGCGCCATTGCACTCTAGCCTGGGTAACAAGAGTGAAACTCCGTCTCAAAAAAAAAAAAAAAATACAAAAACTAGCTGGACGTGGTGGTGTTTGCCTGGTGCCTGTAGCTTCAGCTACTCAGGAGGCTTGGGTGGGAGGATCACCTGAGCCTGGGAAGTGGAGGTTGCATTGAGACGAGATATGACCACTGCACTC